TTCCCACAGGAAAAAAAAAAGTGTCTATTTTTCTATATGAATTCTGCATAAATTCAGGGAATGCACAGACTCATTTAGATGCTATCCATGGCACACCATCCTTAGGCCAGCAACTTTGGCTCCAGGTACAATGCAGTGACATTCCTTACTAAGGCTTACCGGCCCCTTGTTGTTAGTTCAAGACACAGCATATTTCTCTGTGATTCATTAACACTTCCCTTTCTTGCATCATTGACCTTATGCCTGTCATTACAAAGGCTTTCCTCGGGCTGGCTGTCATGTGCTTCCTTCTTCCTCCGGCTATCCTGCTTGGGAAGAGAAGCTCAATCCCCAGCCCTCAGGCATCTCTCACTGGGCACAGAATGCCACCATCAATCCCACTCTCCTGCTGCCACTTCACCCTGGCCTGCTTTCTTAGCCTCCAGCACAAGTCCACATTGGAAAGACCCTTTTCTCTCTAGGCCTTTGCCATCTGGATCAGTCTTCCAGAACATTCCAGAAAGCTATAAATCTTTCAAGTAAACTAGATTTTTCTTTCTGGCCCTTGCCTGTAAATTGATGACTTTGTCGTTGCTAAATTTTAACAAAGGAAGTTTGGCAAAAAAAAAAAAAAAAAAAGCTACGGAAATGTCAAGTTCAATAGCCAAGGAGGATCTCCAGTGGTGTTTGTGCTGCCCCCTACTGGTGAGAAAAGTAGCTCTTAAAAAAAAAAAACCTGATCGATTTTTAGTCAAAACGCTATTTTAATTTATCTTGATTTTTAATGTGTCTTAGAAAGCAATGATGCTTTTTCTTATTTACAAAGGCAGAGTACACCGCGGTCTATTTTAATGCCTCAGAATTTCATTAAAAGTTCCTGCCCATTGACCCAGAAATTTCCTTTCCAGGAATCCGCTCTGGAGAAACAGTGAGAAATGTAAACAAGAGATTACCTTCAGAAATGGTCATCTGGTTATTGATAGTAGTTAAAAAATCAGAACAAAGTTAAATTCCCAACGGCCATAGGACGGAATATTATGTTCACCTTAAAATGATGTTAGTGAAGAACTGCTAAAGATATGAAGAAATATTAAGCAAGCAGGACACAGAACCATAAGCACCATACAATCTCAACTAAATATGCATTGAAACAGGACTGGAAGTGATACACCAAAGCTTAGTGTTTTCCAATTTTCCTGTGAGCATGGGATATTTGTAAAATCAAGGGGGGAAAAGTCAAAAAAGAAACCCCCAAAACTTATTTCAGCATGGTAGAAAGAGCACAGGCTTTAAAACCAAAGGAACTAGATTTTATTCTGACTCTGTGTCCTTGGATGAAAGACTCAGTCTCTCCAGACCTGCTTCCTCCTCAACACTAAGAGGAGGTAATAACAACACTTGTGCCCATAATTACTGTGAGACTGGAGTCTGCATAACAACCATTCTATTCTATAAGTTCCCCTTCATATATTTATCTTCTCACAATTTACCACCCCTCAGAGCCCAAACCCATTTTCCTTTGTCTTGTCACTTCTCTACGATTTATCAACCATTTTAAAAGGGCAGAGTGTGAGCTTCCAGGACCAACCACTTATGGGGGATTTTTCACTCCTTTTCTGTGAAACACCCTATGTGCATATAAAACAAACATTTTCTCCTATTAATCTGTCTTTGGTCAGTTTAATTTATATGTCCCAGATGCTGAACCTAACA